CTCTTCAAGTAGACGCATGTCATGCAGACAGTGCCGCCTGTATAATCGTTATGTCCGATAAAGTGGTGAATTTTCCTTTTCTTCTTCTTTTCCTCTGCCCGGAAGTAATGCCTGCTCTGTACACTTGTACGCTTTGCAGCATATCCGTTGGATCAAGTCGCGAACGGCTATAGAACTGTTGGTTCTTGATGCTGAAAAAAATATTTTTATTATTAATAAAAATTTAAAAGAACATGTTAGACTTTGCACTTGATAATTAATATTAAAAATAATTAGCAAAAAGTAGTAATAATTTTGTTATTTATCAACGACATAATTAAATTCTTTCAAAGAATTATTATTTATGCAAATAATTGAAATCTTGGGCAAAGAATCTTATTATAAACTAAAAGAATAATTGAATGTTAAAAAAATTGGTGCTTACCTTGTGATGAAGACGATGAAGGCTGCCAGAATTGAGAGTTCTGAAGACATTGTATCTGCGTTGGTTGATGATTGATTCTTTTCGGGCCACTCAATGCGAATTGAACCGAATTGCCTGAAATCTGCAACCAGCATCCAGTCGATTATATCCCGAGGTAGGTCAGCAAAGAAAACTTTAGAGGAATAACGTGTGTCCTTATACAGCGCTAAAAAATGAAAAAAACAATTTTATTCTTTATTTTATTTTTTTTCAAAAAAAAAATTTATTTATTATTATTATTATTTATTTATTTATTTAAAAAATAAATTGACAAAACATTTCTTTTGTCACTAAGCAAGCAAATATATATATATAAAAAAAAGAAAAAAAAATCAGATAAAAATGAGGCATTCCATTTCAAACCGTGTTCCACCGACAAAAAACAATCGCAAGGAGAGCGATTTTCTAATGAATATAATTATTTTAAAATTTAATTATTTGTAACATATTATACACTGAATCGAAAGAGAATTTCATGACCTTTCTAATGCTATTTTTATTTTTTTTTATTTTTCTCAATTTCGTAGAGAAATTCCTGTTTGAAAGTTTAAACTCTTAATATCTCAAAACACCCCCTATCGATTTTTATCAAAATTATTTAAAAATAAAGCTTAACTTTTCTAGTTTCCATTCCCGTATAATATATTATGGACATTTAATGGGATTAATAGAAAAAAATTATTTAAAAAATGTGTTTTTGAAAAATTTGACAAATGGCACGAAGTTGAATCCTAATTAACCTTCAACTTCGTGCCATTTGTCAAATTTTTCAAATTAATTAAAAATTAATTTAAATTAAATTTTAATTAATTTAATTTAATTATTTTAATTTTATAATTATTAATTAATTATTATAATTAATTTAATAATTATAATTTATTTAACTATAATTTATTTAATTGAGAGTTAGTAAATTTAATAAAATTAATATTATAATTATTAATTTCTTATTATAATTAATTTATTAATTATAATTTATTTAACTATGAGTTATTAAATAAATATTTAATTGAAAATGCATGATTTAGATGAATAAATTGTAATAAATATTTACTTTCTGTGTAATAACAGTAAAAAAAATTATTTTCACCAAATATTAACTTTCTACTAATCGTCGGCAATTATTCATTTAAAAAACATTAAATTATGAAACGTTAGATATAAATATAATTAATTTATCATTAAAAAATTGTTTATATAGTAATTAAATTATTTTTTCTCATGTTACTGTGTTTTAAATAAGCGCGCGCCCTCTTAATCGAGCCTTTCTCACGCATGCGCAGTGTAGGCGTCTGGTGGCAGTGGTTGGCTTCACACTGCAGATATGTTCATTCCGATGCCATACATTGTCGAGGTAAGTCGTATAAATTTTCGCTAAAAAGTTGCTTTTACATCAACCACATTATCGATTATCGGTTTCTAATCTGTTTTCATTAGTATTTATTTAATTATTCGCTATTCTATTGCTGTAAATCTAATGCAAAAGATTATTGTGTCATTGATATTCCCGACCCTTCATTTGCAGTTTTTGCGCGTAATTTACTATCAATCGTAGTATAATTTGACAAATCGTTGTAGTTTTTTCAGCCAAATTTAATCGCCAATAAATGAACGTAACAAAATTGTTGAAAGATTTGAAATATTTGCAACAATTAAATGGGTAGGGTGGCGGGGAGAGGGGAGACGGAATAAAACAAAATGGCTGCCACATCAAAGTGGACTGTTCCGTCAGTGCTTCTATAATAGTTTAAGCGATTTAATTATTCGCGTTCTATATTTTATTATACATAATTATGCGTAACACAATTGCTGAAATGTGGTAAATATTTACAACAATGTAGTACAAAAGTGAAACAAATTAATTAATAAATACAAAGTGTTTGCAAAATATTACCTCACCAAATTACGTGTTTAATAGTCGTAGTATAAATTCATTAACAATATATAAAAAATAACTGTAAATTAGGATTAATTTCATAAAATTTAAAAAATTTTGATTTTTGCAAGTGAGTATAGGAGGTCAGGATAAATTTTGTCTTTATTTTAGCCAACAATATTTTTAAAAATAACAAACTAAAAAATAATAATCAGCCTTATAGTATTATTTTATTCTCAAGTTTTTAATTATCTTTTAAATATTTTTTATCCTCGTAAATAATCTTGAATACTCTTTATCTCTAACAATAAAAAAAGAAAAATGAAATTGTCAATAGACAAGTTAAAATATTTAAATTCCGGAAGTCGAAACCGCCCAGCGCGCCACCTACTACAATGTGCCGCCATTTTCTTTTTTCCGTTTTCCGGCATCCGGCCGGCATTTTTATCCTCATTACTCTCGTGCGTGGTGGCAGAATTTTGTGTTGTGCTCAATTAAAATCTAATCGTAGTTTTAGCATCCTTTTATTTATTCATATTTAATTAGCAGTACGAGATTTTTATTGAAATTACACGTTTTATTTGCAATATAGGTGAATACATTTTTTTTGCTGATTTCCGTGACGACAATCAACAAATTTATGTACAATAAATGTACGTATTTCTTTTTCGGATTACGAGGGCAAATCAAAAATTGTCTATTTGAATCTTTGGCGAATCCTGAACATTAATTTAGTAAGTGAAATGATAATTATTTAAAATTAAGTTTAAAAAACTAATGTTCTGAAAAGTTAGGTTACAAAATTTGTCTTGAGAACTTTTTACATTAATCGTTTACATTAACTTGACTTGACTGATTTCATCATAATCTATAATATAAATTGGTTCATTATTTTTAGAAAAATTGTGATTTGTTTTTTAATTGTAAAAAAAATTTTCAGTCGTTTGCTGTATAGCCCTGAACAGAATAAAACTGAAACGGAACGCCAGCACGAGATAGAAAAAGAGGGAAGTAGGTTTCTCGCCACCATTTCACGCCACCGTATCTCGCCATCCTTTCTCGCCATCGTTTCTCGCTACCGTTTTTCTTTCAAGGATTGTTTTAAAACGTAAGTTTCAACTTTTTTTATTTGTTTAGACATTATTGTCAAAAATTTGCTTATTTTATCAAATTAAAGAAACTCAAAAATTTTGTAGCAGAAATATTATAAAAAAAAAATTAGACAAAAATTGGTAATTGAGGTTATATTTATTAAATAATAAACAATTGTGTTTTTTTTATTAGAACAATTTATAAAACTATTTGAAAGTGTAGATTTTACGAGCTTACGAGAACAGGAAAAAAATAAGCCATTTTCAAATTTCATATTGCTTGTACTGCGCGTGTGCACAACAATCAGTTTATTATTTCTTTTCAAATTCACCATTTAATTTTATTCTATTAAAAATTTTATTTGCAAATTTGTTTTTCAATTTCTGATTGAATTTCCGAGATATTTAAAATTTTTTATTTATTATTAATTCGAATAAATATATATTTAAAATTAAATCGGATTTTTAAATTAATTTACTTTTAATAACTATACATATTTTAATTAGAATATTTTTGTTAATATATTTGAATTAATATATTTCTGTTCAAAAAATTATTTTTCTTCTCACAAGTGAGAAGAATCTATATAAATAAAATTTATTTCACCGTCGTGACATTACTGCAAAAAAAAGAGATGTTCGGAAATTAACCTCTATTAATTAATTAATTCACAGTGAAATATTATGTTTGTCAATTCGTTTTCAGAGTAAAACAAACATATTTTTTTTCAGATTCTGGATTCAAACTTGTTTGTAATGACCATTATGGTCATCGTCAACTGTATATGATCGCCAGCGTTTCTCGCCACCCTTTGTCGCCACCCAATGTCGCCACCATTTCTTGCAACCGTATCTCGCCATCCTTTCTCGCCATCGTTTCTCGCTACCGTTTTTCTATCAAAGATTGTTTTTAAAACGTAAGTTTCAACTTTTTTTATTTGTTTAGACATTATTGTCAAAAATTTGCTTTTTTTCAAATTAAACAAACTCAAAAATTTTATAGCAGAAATTTTATTTAAAAAAAATAGACAAAAATTGGTAATTGAGGTTATATTTATTAAATAATAAATCATTGTCTTTTTTTCATTATAAATATAGAACAATTTATAAAATTATCAGAAATAGTGTAGATTTTACAAGCTTACGAGAACGGGAAAAAAATAAGCCATTTTCAAATTTGATATTGCTTGTACTGCGCGTGTGCACAACAATCAGTTTATTATTTCTTTCCGATTACACCATTTTTTTTAGTTCAATTAAAAATTTTATTTGCAAATTTGTTTTTCAATTTCTGATTGAATTTCCGAAATATTTAAAATTTTCAATTTATTATTAATTCGAATAAATATATATTTAAAATTAAATCGGATTTTTAAATTAATTTACTTTTAATAACTATACATATTTTAATTAGAATATTTTTGTTAATATATTTGAATTAATATATTTCTGTTCAAAAAATTATTTTTCTTCTCACAAGTGAGAATAATCTATATAAATAAAATTTATTTCACCGTTGTGACATTACTGCAAAAAAAAGAGATGTTCGGAAATTAACCTCTATTAATTAATTAATTCACAGTGAAATATTATGTTTGTCAATTCGTTTTCAGAGTAAAACAAACATATTTTTTTTCAGATTCTGGATTCAAACTTGTTTGTAATGACCATTATGGTCATCGTCAACTGTATATGATCGCCAGCGTTTCTCGCCACCCTTTGTCGCCACCCAATGTCGCCACCATTTCTTGCAACCGTATCTCGCCATCCTTTCTCGCCATCGTTTCTCGCTACCGTTTTTCTATCAAGGATTGTTTTAAAACGTAAGTTTCAACTTTTTTTATTTGTTTAGACATTATTGTCAAAAATTTGCTTTTTTTCAAATTAAACAAACTCAAAAATTTTATAGCAGAAATTTTATTTAAAAAAAATAGACAAAAATTGGTAATTGAGGTTATATTTATTAAATAATAAATCATTGTCTTTTTTTCATTATAAATATAGAACAATTTATAAAATTATCAGAAATAGTGTAGATTTTACAAGCTTACGAGAACGGGAAAAAAATAAGCCATTTTCAAATTTGATATTGCTTGTACTGCGCGTGTGCACAACAATCAGTTTATTATTTCTTTCCGATTACACCATTTTTTTTAGTTCAATTAAAAATTTTATTTGCAAATTTGTTTTTCAATTTCTGATTGAATTTCCGAAATATTTAAAATTTTCAATTTATTATTAATTCGAATAAATATATATTTAAAATTAAATCGGATTTTTAAATTAATTTACTTTTAATAACTATACATATTTTAATTAGAATATTTTTGTTAATATATTTGAATTAATATATTTTTGGCAAAATATTTGAACTAATTATTATTATTTTCATAAATAATAAGAATTACAATATAATTCTTTGTAAAATTGAATTATTTTAAAAAACTTTTCGCAATTCAATAATTTTCAACATCTACTATTTTCACAAAATTTCCAAACAGAATTCAATTATTTAAAAATTTTTTGTAAAAAGCTTTGTGAGAATTTCATTTTTTTCTGGAATAATAAAAAATTTCTCAGGACTTTAATTATTTTTGAAAATTTTTTATAAAATTGTTAACAGCTATTCAATAATTGCATCATAAATAATAAAAATCATCAAAGAATTTCAATTATTTCTAATACAATTTTAAACGAATTCTTCGAAAAATGTAATTCAAATTCTTAAAAATTTTATTAAAATTCGTCATCAATTGAAAAATTTGTTGGTAAAATTCTTTATGAGAATTAAATGTTAAGACAATGAATTATTTTTGTATTTAAATAATTGAATATTAAAAGCTGTATAGCGTGAATTTTTATAAATAATTGAATTTTGAAATTGATTTTTTTGAAATAAGTTAAATGAATTTTTTTTAAATTTCGTAAAATTGATTTAAAGAAGAATTTTAGTTAAAAATTGTTGAAAATAATAATAATTTTAAAAAATTAATTAATTAAAATTTCTTAATTTTAAATGAGATTAAAATTTTTAAATTTTCTTTTAGGTTTGGAATATTTGCCAGGAGACAAAGAAAATGAAGCGAAAGAGGCAGTCAATAACATTAAAGGATTTTCTACCTTCTTCATCTACTTGTTTAAATAATACTTCAAATTCTTCAAAATGTCCTGCTACTGCTGCATGTGGGAATAGTTCGAATAAAAATAAGGAAAATGCGAAACGACGTCGTGCCGATAAAGATAAGAAGGATACCAATTTAAAGAAGACTAAGAAAGATGATTCTTTGGAAAAGAATAAAAAGAAAGTTACTAAAAAGAGAACGGCGAACAATGAGGAAGATGAAGAACCTCCTATGGATGAGAGAAAAAGGAAGCGACTCAAACGATTGGGAACTCGAAAGTCAACTGTCAAAATATTCTTGGGCACCATATGTAAATCAAATGCCGTAAAGGAGAGAATAATTGAAGATGCGAAAATAGTATCCAGAATGAGAATAGAAGTCTCTTTGATGGCGTTGCAGTCTCTTTATCATGACACAAATCATTATTTGCTTGAAAAGTGGACGAACGATGGTCCCAATTATTTAGAACTCTTTATTGCGTTAAAAAGAAAAATAAATACTCAAGTTGTTCGAGATCCTCAGTTTGTAGCGCTAATCGAAGAATATAAAGTGACACGTGGCAATAAGCCACTTTACGATTGTGAGTATCGTACGTCCATTATTCAAGAAGAAGCTCGTAAAATGAATCGTGAATTTAAAACAAGTTTCTTGAAACATTTCGAAACTAGATTGACGAGATTGGTTCAACATCTTTTGTCATCTAAAGATAATGCTTCAAACTCTGATGCTGCCGATGACGCGGAAGAAGAGAAAATTGTGAAGGATGCTCTTGATGATGATGATGGTGCGGAAGCTGAGAGAATTTTAAAAATGGCAAGACAACAGAGACACAATGAAAAGAAGCGAAGGTATCGCAAAAAATTCAAAGCAAAACGTCGCAAGCTAAAAAAGATTGAAGCAACAGCAGCAGCAGCAGCAAGAGAAGAAAATCATCGTAGGACTGCCAAGGAAATTGCAAATTTGAAAATTCAAGAAAGAAGAGAAAATCGTGCCAAGGACAATTCACATCGTGAGAAAGTTTTTTCAAAGCGAAAAACTCGAAAAAGAAGAAAACATCCAAAAACTCATGGGAAAAGAAAGGATATGGCCTTAAAGAGTAGGTGGTCGAGCTCTGCAAGTAGAATTCGCAACAACACTGTTAGCACGAGAAAAGAAGCTATTCAAGTTGTTGAAAATCTTCTCAACAACAATGATTGCGACATTGCCGAATTTAATAATTTTCTGAATCCCCAAGAAGAGTTGAACTTTCAAAACATGAAACAATACGTGAACGATGATGGTGAGGACGATGATCGCAATTCTGAATGGACAAAATTCATTCCATTCATGATACGTGTTCAACAATACTTTCACGACAACAATATTCACAATTTTGTTCTTGTACCGCAAGCTCAACTCGGCATTGCACATGTATTATATTCCAATACAGGTCTGGAAGATTTAAAGAAGGGTGCCGAGCAGGATGTATTTTTGAAAAAAGAATTGCAGATAAGGCGGCAGTCAATTCCTTTTAAACAGAAGCAACTCCAAATCAAAGAGGCCAAAACTTGCAAGGAAGTAGAAATCAATCGATTTTTACAAATCAAGAATAAAATTCAAAGATGGGAGTACATGTTTGACATTTCCAGCACGGAAAGGGGCAAAGTTGGTGCATTTGCTGAAGTGATGACAACAAATGGCGTCGATGCTTCAATAATATTTAATGTTCCAAAAATGGAATCGGTTGAAAAAAAGGAAGGCCCTGCTCCGGAAACTCGTTTCAAAGTCTTTTATGGTTTCGATCCCGGCAAGAAGGCGACATTGGGTGGTGTAAGAAGAGTTCGTGGTGCACAACCGTCAATGGAGGACAAATTGAAGGATAATCACATTTATTTAAAGAGCAGCAGTTTTCGTTGGCAGATGAGTGATTTCAGAAGAAGGGAAAGAAAAAAGGAATTTGGTCTGGATCTTCAAAAATATTATAAACAGTATGTGCTTGAAAATCCAGAAAGAATGGCCAATTTTTCAAATACCAATCCGCGAGATTACAAGAGAATCATCGAGTATAAGCTGCATCTGTTCCAAAGATTTCAAGAGTTGCACGAGCAAAAATGTGTGGTGCGTTTAAAAATGGACAAATATATTTCGCGTCAGAGGGAATGTGAAAAATTGGTGAATTTCTTCATTGGAGACACTTTTCGAAAACCTTGTTTTGTGGCTTTTGGTAATGCATCATTACCAAACTTTACACGTGGCTACGTTGGTACAGCGTTGAATCAATTGAAGAGAACGTTTGTTAATCGAGCAAAACAACTTGGTGACAAACGCTTGAAATTCGTTAAAGTAAATGAGTATCACACGACTGCGCTGTGCAGCAATTGCTGCTTTGATGTGATAAAATCCAAGAGTCCGCACAGATTTCTGCAGTGTAATAAATGTCGCACTACCTGGGAACGTGACATTAACGGTGGACGAAATATTCTAAACGTGGGACTCATCGATGAGGGAATAATCCCCAAGGAAGCACCATTTGACGAAGCGACTTTCCATTATAGGAATAGTAAGTATTAAAATTATTATATTTAAATCAAGTAGTAATTAGTTGAATCAAGAATATACTAAGTAATATATATATATTTTCTTTTTTATTTTCAGATTAATTTTTATAGACGTTTTCATCATTCGACGCCTTCCTTATTGTCGTTATCGTCGCAACTTCGTTAACTTTGTTTGTTCACCGTCTTCATCAACAAATCAACGATTCAAAAAAAAAAAATTATATTCGCGCCTGGCAGCCCTCGAGGAAGTGGGGACACTCTGTTCTGCACCCTAGAGGCGGCATATCGGGTCTTCAAGTTTACTTGATTGCAAGCTTTTATGCGTACTGGCCCCTTATGGCTAAATAAGGGGAGAAGGGACCTCCTCATTAATTCTTATTATCATTATTGATAAGAATCAATAATGAGGAGAGGGATTTTTTCAATTTTTAACAATTTTAAATTACTCTATTTCATTTTTCTTTAACAATAGTTTTTTACCATAGTTTTTCTTTTTTTTTATTTTAAAATTCAAATAATATTTCTATTTTATATTCAATCCAAACATAACCCTAACAAGTATGTTTGATAAGGATTTCTGTTCTTCCTAGAAAAAAGAAGAACAACATTTTTCATGTGGAGAGGATTAAGTAAAGAACCAATTAACTCGAGTATGACAACTGACACCATGAAGATCTCATTTGCAGTGTATTTTGGTTGATAGTTCTGTTGGAATTGCAGTTGTCAGACTGGTGTCGATAAAAAAGAAATTTTAGAATTGGGATTTGCAGTCTAGTGACAATGTTCCATTTTGTTTTTTTCTCTTTCTATTGTACTATAATTAAAAAAAGACGAAACAGGAAAATGCAGGTGAAAAGTAGTATAATCACTAGATGCACCACTTTGGCATATTAAATGAAGCGAAGACTGCATTGGCTACAATGACTTTCTCCTCTCATGTATCACATTTGAAAGCTAGTACCGTGTCATTTAAAATGTGGTTTGTATAATTTTGTATAATTTTTTATAATTTTTACTATTAATACAAGAAATGGTGATTCAATCTAAATTGCATACATCTTAGTGTGACCTTTGAAACCCTTGTCAATAATTTTTATATTTGACGGTGCCAGTAGGTGGTGTGAAAATACTTTTACCAATGATCGTTTCATCAAATTATTCATCACTTGCTTCCTAATTCTATCCACTTGATATTTTTATTAAAATCAAGCATTTTATATACATTCATGTAACTCCAAATATTTATAGTATTTTTTAAGTTATTAATTGTTATTAAAATAATTCCAGTACGTCAAGAATTCGACAACAATACCTGAGAGAGATAATATTTTTTTTTTTTTGAGAAAAAATATATATTTTGAAACAAAGCACTGGAATAAAATTCTTGTGAATTAAGAATACACATCCATACAAATTGATATTAAAACCTATCGATTACACAATGCCCACAAATTAAGGTTTATCTCCATGTTCCTTTTTTTTTTCATCTCTGCAACCCCTATGCTGCTATATATATATATATATATATATACATCTAATATTTTATTGTGCAATGGGGACAAATACATCTTTCTTTATGGGAGTGATTCACTGATAGCTGTGCGATTTTTTAAAAAATTGCTGTTATTTTAACTTTTAGCTCTTTAATTTCACAATATGAAGGAATAAAAATCGTTTTCATAATTTCAAAAATATTCCTCTTCGTCAAATATGCTCTATTCGAAAAGTTATTGAAATAATCCGTTTATTAACTCGAAGAGAAATTTCTTTATGATTGAATCAGTAATAAGTACAGTTTATTTTAAACGAATCTTTTAGGATAAATGATATGTATGTATTTTTTGCTATATCCATCAGTTATTCTTGAAATACAATAACTTTTGAGAAGTAAAATATTCAAATCAAGTTTCTTCTCCTTAAAACATAATAACTTGAGATTGTATAAGATGTCGGTAATCTTTTATGGACCACCACCCTCTCCCCTGCAATTGAAACTTTTGTCGTTATATTTTCTGTGCTTTGCTATATATACATAAATATTATATCTCATGAATTCCTTTCAGCTCCAGGAGGGTTAACCATCAAGTGCAGGATCTTTCCTCTGCCCCCTGAATTAAGCTCTAGGGTGAAAGATACTTAAAGAAATGAAAGTTTGACAATTTATTTTGACAATTATAAGTATGTTCCATTCAATCATAAAAGTATAAGAATGTAATGGAATATATTGACTTGCTTTCAAAGTTTTGTCTGCGCACAATATTTCACCTATGGCACATACCTATTATGGCTGTTTAAGGCCTATAGAGGGATGAAGCAGCTTTTATGCAAGAAGTAACCATTAACTATTGGAAGCTTTAGAAGCAATCATAATTCTCCTTAAGTGAGTGTAAGTGGAAGCTTTATTTGTTTTTAAATAATTCTTTTACATTTATTTTTTGAATTATTTGATGGAAAGAATTAGGAAAGAAGTTTTTCAACTTTTTGAAAAAATGGGTGAAGCTTGAGAGAGTTGTAGTATAAAATGCAGAGAGCGAGATAATTCGCTGATTCTATGGGGTAGTAAGCAATGATAAAAGAATAAAGAAGAGGCAAGTTTAGCTCTCTCTGTAAGACTCGAAGATGTGGGCGCACGCGCCTTGCGCCCGCTGAAATACTGAATATTACTGATAGCGCAAAACTGAAGGAACCGCGTGGCGGTTTCGCCTTTCGCATAGAGCGAGTGTCGGTCAGACGCCTGACGCAATTCTGGCCATGTTGCTCAGTATACTCTGCGCTCTCGCATGAAGCGGGTGCTTGGCATTGTCGTAAAGCCGGGTAGTTTGGTAGTTCGCGACTTGCACGCATTTTGTTGGTTCATCAATTTCTTCTTTTTTTTCTTTTCTTTTCTTTTTCCTCCTTGACTCACATTTTCCCTTGTATTTTTATTTTTGGTTCCTTTCTTTGTGTTTTGAGACAAAATTGTCATGATAGTAATGAATTATTATCGTTGAGTGGGTAATTGCGGGGAAGTGTCACTTCTTCAATGGGAAATAAGAGGAAAAGCCGCGAATCTTGATGCATAAAAGAAAGGCCCTCCGGCCTGAAGAAGGACGACACCTAACAGGTGCATTTCATTCATAAACCATTTTTTCTTGTCTCATTCCCTCGTTCAAATTGGTTCTTTTACTTTTAATTTCATTATAATTGGAATTGAAATTTCAACATCTTTGAGAATAATATTTTGTTCAATTATTTATGTAATTTAAAACAATGTTAATAATTTACTATTAAAATCATTGTTTCTAACATCTTACAATTCTAGCAAAAGAAAAAAAATTCAGTTCTTTTTCTTGATTATAAGAATTGAACAATCTTTTCCGAGATTTCACACTAGAAATAGCAGGTTTTTAAAAATCATATTTTCTAATGAAAAAAAAAACAAAACAAAATGCACAGATTTCTAAGGATCTCAAATTGAGACCATAAATTATTGTATCCAAGTATTGCGATGAGAGGTTTTTATGCAGTTAATGGTCTCAATTTGACAACCTTGGAAAAGCCATTTGAGACTGAAATCTTTGATAATTAAGCATACCAGTTAAGTTAGAGTGAAACAGCGAATCATTTGTCATCTTGTGATTCCTATCTCCCATCTAACAATTTGAAAAGCAAATTTTCGAATCATAATTTCTCTCTTTTTTTGACTTAGTTTCGGGCCACCTACTTCCTGCATCATATATCAAAGTGTCACGTGATTGTCGCAGGTGCATATGATTCGTTTGGGTCGGTTAAACGTTTTTACCCCTTGGGGACGGCCAGGAACCTATTAATATTATAGTCGTGCGAACTTTGTAAACATTTTGCAAAGAGAGAGTTTCACTTAAACGATAAAATATTCCACTTGAAAATTATTTTCTCCTGGAAGGAAAATTTTCCTTTCTTTGTATATAATATCAAACAAAATGAAATTAATAAATTTAATGTATATTGAAAAAATATATTTCTTCTTTCATTAATATAATATGAGCTTCTAAAATAAAATGCTTCCCTTCTCTAATATATTTTGTAATAAATGATGATAGACAATTGTGTTTAAAGTATCAGGGAATATATATTAACCGAGTAACGAGAATGTTTAATAATTCCCTCGGGGTCAATAGTTTCATCAAATAATTTTATTTAGTTATTGTATATACTATAATTATTATGAAAATTAAATAAACATTATCTTAAAATTATAATAATTGTTTCTGAGAAATATTCAAAAAAGAATATCTTTTATTATTTCTTTAATCTATATAAATAATAATAATAAGCAAGAAAAAAATTATGATTTTACAAAATCAGTAGCTGTAAATTTATTTCGTGTTAAACTTGCATCGTTAACATAGAATATTTGACTTTTTATTACAGGTATTCTTTATTCTATAAAGTATGTAAAGTATCTATGTAAGTTTTATATGTATAAGCTACATATAATGTATATCAAATACATAAAGACTCTAAAGTACAAAAAATATACGGAGTGTAAGAACGTATTAAAAAGAGTATTGAAAAACACGGAGTACAATGTAATAACTGACAACATCATTTTATCGTAAAAATGGTAAATGCCACTTTATTTAGTGCTTAAATGCAATTGTTATTGAAAAACATGATAAGAAAATTGAAAAAAAATCTTTATAATCATCAATTGCTTTTAATTGAAAATTTATCAAAAATACATATTAAATTCCTGATACATTTATTAAAAATAAATTTTCTAGTTTTTTTTATAAAAGTGAATAATTTTTTAAAACGCGACATATCCCAATTTCTCGCTCTCACCTTAAATGAATAGACTGCTCTTGAAAAAGTGAAAAGAGTTTTCGAGAAATATATTTAAAAGTACTCATTTCTTTTATTTTTACTTAAAAAAATGATGCATATTTTTGTGCATTATTATTATATTTAAATTTCAATCTTAAAACAATGAAATTATCTTATATCTTATAAAAAAGAAAATTTTTCAAATTCAAACTTTTTTTAAATGAAGAGTAAGGTGGAAAAATTGAATGGATCACGGAAAGTGAAAACGAAAACAAAATTCTCAAATAAGAAAGAGGAAGAGATGCCATAGGAGGAGGATTTAGAGAGATATGCGAATAAAAAGAAACGGAATCTGAAAGATGCTTTCCGAAGCAGAGCATTTTTTTTTTTTATAAAAAGAATTCCGATTACGTGATTGAGATATTTTCAATTTATATAAACTTATACACATGGGAGTCGTAATAGTCTCATTTTTATTAAAACTACACTGAGAAAACTGGAGTGTCAAATTCGGAGGTTCAAAAAGTGTATGTTTCCTTTGCTTATGAAGAGAGTTAAATAGTCCTTCTAAAATAAATTTTGAATTGATAATGGAAGTCTACTTGTATATTTATATTCTCTCCCATTATATCTGAGGGTTAAAAGTTGCGCAAAAAATGTGTACGATCTGATGCGCGCGAAATTATTTTTCTGACATTTTATGTATTTAATTTAGGGGTTAGGTTGCCATATTTATTCATTTCGCGCCGGATAAGGAAGGGATTTCTCAAGATGGTTAATTTGTCCCTCTGTTTTAAACTCATTTTCCCTCCAAGAGAAATGGCACGAATATCTGTCAATGGTGTATTTGAACATTTAGATTGTTATCCAATAGCTAACTCTCAAATATCAACGATTTGTCCCTCCAGATGTTTAGTCCAATACTCCAGTTTTCTCAGTGTAACATTTAATGTGTTTTCACTTTGAGACTTTTATAAAATAAAACAAGAAGAAGAAGAAACAAATTTGCAGTTTAAAGAAAAATGGCACAGAGGTTAAAAAGGTATACACTCGCACTCCAGTATACACTTAAATTTTCCTGCTATTATTAATATAAAATATTACCTACTTAATGTTAATATGGAAATGACATTAGTAATTTTTTTCTGTTGCAAATGTGAACAGTGTTCAGAAAGTTTTCTTTCTAGCGGAAAATGTTTGTTAAATAAAGAACAGTTGTTGATAAAAGGGTATTTTGAATATGGTATGAATTGCAGATTATTTTCACCGTTAACCAGTTTTCGCGTCTTTTGCGATAAACCTTGGCCTCTTTTCTGTCTGGGCGCTTTTGTATATTTTGTATAAATTTCGTATAAATTAGAATGAAAGGGAGTTTACTGCAAAAGCTTTATTCAACATCTTCTTTGTAGAAACTTTCTGTCAAGTAGGGTGCATTATGCAATGCTTCCTTTGTTATACATTTGAAATTCGTATTTGATCAAGTTCGTCAGTGAATTTAATTAGTTTGCAATAGGTTTTGTATCGAAGCGTTTCTGCGCAATGCAAAATGAGGTGCAAATTAGCTTTGTGTGCTGCTTTTTTAAACACTAATTCTCTCGTTTCTTTTATTTGAATCTAAAATTAATTAAAGTAGATATGAATTTCTTTTCTTTCTTATTCCTCGTTACTTTGCTTTCTCTCAAACGATTTCAGTCATTTTAATTTTTCTTCCATCTTTCCATTCAATTAGAGAACATTTCTTATCGCGTTTATGAATTGATACACGAATAAATCTTTTCAAAATTATTTCTAATAACCTTTTTTATTTAAATAAATAAAAGAATCGTTTTAATGTTTCAGGCAGCAACAAACCAAAGACCTAGAAATTTGAATTGGTTGGAAAATAATTTCTCTCTAATTCAAGACACAAGTATTGAAACTTGACTGAAACGCTAATTAGTGGGAGAGTGATAAAGAGCGATGATAAAAAACAGTACGTGATGTGTTCGTATAGTCAACGATGACCAAAAGAATCCGTGCCAAAAAGTCCAAGAACAAAAATCCATTTTTATTCGTACCAAAGAGTTTGTTCCTGAGATTATTTTGAAGAGGAGAGAAGGAACTCG